TCTTTCATATCACAAAATAGCCTCCTGATAATGCAGAAAACACCCTTGGAAATGGACTGTGCTAAAAAACAGCAGAGACCTTTGTTAAACACTGTAATTTTATACTCACGCATTCATTTGATGATACTTCATGCCAGCAATTAAGCACTTTGTCTTTCAGAAGATCTATTTTTAAAGTCACAGAAGTGAAAAGGTAACGGACGGCATATTGTCCTGCTGCTCTTCTGTTCAGCCGTGATCCTCACGGGCCAGTTAATCCAGTTTTATGGCCAGGTTATACCAGCCCTGCTGCACGCAGTGGCTGCACCATGACAGATAAAGGTACAGAGAAAGGGCTAGCTAGATTAAGACTCAGCACAGCTCTAATCCTGCCTACGCTGAATATTCTCTTCTGTATCTTCCCATCTCGCCCTTAGACTCTGCTCACTCCCGCAGGCTACTTCCTCCTGGTAACCTCCTTGCTGATAGTAGCCTGTTCTCTGCAGGGAGAATTTGCTCCCACTTCTGCACCTGATTTAGTCTTTGCTCTCGTTCAGCTCCTGCCTGGTTAGCTAGACCCCACTGCTGCCCCAAAACAGCCTGCTGAAAACTTGTGAGTTACCAGTTTTTCTGCTAACTAGTAGTTACTAAACTACACTCTGTTTTCTAAAAGAGGAGAAGGCCATTCTATTTGGGCACATATCTGCTCTCCCTCTTTAAATCCTCATAGATCTACATCTGCATCCTCTTCTCTAGTTTGGTTTGAATGTGTCTCTATCTGATGCCTTCCCTAAGGTGCCATACATCCCTGTGGCTGTATATCCAGGAAAGCCAGGCAAATCATCTGCTATGAATAATTTATCAGATAAATTTTACCTCTATTTCAGTTCTGAATTGTCTGCAAACAGCTTGTGATTTCTACAAACTTCTGATTTGATGTTACTTGCCACATAGTGCCATACTGGTGTCTTATTCATGAGGAGCTTGTTTGGAATATTTGAAATTTGAGCCAATTGGACACTAAGATGATGGAAAGCCTAACCTAAGAGAAGCTGAGCACTCGAGTCTCATTTCACAAAAATATTTGGGGGCATTTCACAAAAATACTTGGGGGCATAGCTTTGAGGAGTCGTTCACCTGCAGTCGACGAGGCTGCTCTCATATTTGCTGTTAAGAACCTGCTTGTGTGCCTTGCCGAAACAGCCAAAGCAGCGAGCACCTTGCAGGACATTGCGTGTTTCTGTTCTCTGGCTGGACTTGCCTGCCTTGTGGAATCATTTCTCTCAGGGATTTTGCTTTAAGAACATTTTCTGGCACTGAAAAACAATATTAAAAAATAACACACCTGTAAAGGGTACAATTATATTTTGAAGTTCTGCAATGTGTCTGTGTCTGATTTTTGTTTGTTTGTTTTAAATACAGGTATCTCCTAACTCCTAGACCCCGCAGAGATCTCTTGGTCTGCTCTACGTTTTTTTGTGCCTCTAACCCTACATTTTGTGTGTTGGTTTTATTGCCTCTTGAATTTTATCTCCTGCTAGAATTAATTCAGTAGCGTGTTAGAGACAAGGATATTTTTAAGGTGGGGAGGCAGAGGACAAAGGAAATACAAATCATGTTATTTTTCAGACAGCAGATTGGGAAGGAAATTAGCCTTTTCACCACACAGCTGTAGTGCACAGAGGTATTAAGAACCAACTCTGTGCTCCACTCCAGTTCCACTGTGCCACTTACATTTGCATCCTTGACACTGTGGTGGTGTTTTTTTTCATGCAATGCCTCTACTGCCTCTACCCAGTGCCCCAAAAACTTGCTCTTCCTTTCACTTCCAGGCTGCTCGGATTGTCTCACCTTCAGTTATTTTTTTCTTTTTCTCTCTGTTTACCATTTTTCACATGTAATATGCACCCTTACAGAGAGACTGTAACTGAGGTTACAGTCTCATTTTTTTAGATGCTGCCGACACAAATAGCAAAGGACAGTACATGCCTCAAAAAAAGCCTGCAATTTCGAGGGACGGCAGACAAAGAATGAGGAGAAGATAGGATGAGGCGCTCCCTGATCAAGAAGGGGAAGTGAAGAAAGGCAAGATGAAGATCACGCTCAGTTCTTCCAGGGTCACAGCAGAGACACGAGTGCAGCTACGGCCACGCGTAGGTGTGCTGGGGCGGCGCGGCTCAGTGCTTCAGCTGCAGCGCGATCCTTCTTCCCTCCTTTGTTGTTCATTTTCCCCTCCTGTTCCCGAGCACGGTAAGACAGGCCGTTCCCACGCCGAGCTTGGAACCTCGTTCCAATATGAAACTGTCTGCCCTCGTCACAGCTCCCTGCGATGAGTGCTGGGGCTGCTGCCTGCGAGCAGCAGCGAGGGCTGTCCGTTGCAGACATATGTTGCTATTTTTCCCTGCACCGTCCTCCGGCTTCCTTCGGCCAAATTGCTTTCTAGCTCTGCCTGCCCTTCTTTTGTTGTCTGCAGGACTGGAGAAAGGATGACCCAGAATCTCTTATTTCTGGGAGTTGTGGCTTGATCCCTTGAATCTCCCAGCTAATGAAATTACAGCAGAAAAGTTGAACCATGAACCATCTCATAACACTACCCCTCCCAGAAGCTAGCTAACTGTTTTTTCAGAGAAAAGAAATGGAGCATAGAGAAAAAGAAACATGGTTTTCATTTTCACATTAAAATAACAACAACAAAAATCCACTGTAATTCTGTAATTCAGAACCTTCACACATCCTCAGGGGAGGGACAGGTAATCACTAAGAGGACACTTACCTTTTCAGGAGGGTTTTTCAATCTACTTCTTGCTCTTTGCTCCTTTCACTTCACTCACTTTTTCTAGCTCTTCGTTTTATATACATGTACCTGGTTGTCATCAGTGTGGCATCTGAGCACCTTCCAATTTTAATCAATTCTGTCTTACAAATCAGAAGGCTCAGGAAGTATCACTGCACTTTTTCATCTCTGGTAAAGCTAGGCAGAGAAGTTAGGTAACCTATCTGCAGTTAATCTGTGTGGCTGGGCAGCCCGAGAAGAAGCTGGAAGACCCTGTTTGACTCCATCTCTACCTGTCTCCACCACGTGCCACAACTTGATTCAGACCCCTTGAAGAGTGGGTTTTCCACCTGCCTGATTCAGGTTGCCGTTCAAACTGTTCCCACCCTCTGCCTCCTCTTACAGGAACACTTAGAAGTACACAGTATTTTTGTTCCAGAGGGTCATTAATTAGCATTTACAGATGTTGTAGTGAGGAGATCTGCAGCCAGGCAGACCCCATATTAGAAACTGTGTCTTGCACTTGTATGAAAAGCAGCGCTGGGCTCCGTGCTCCCATCAGCCACCTAGCCCACTTTCCGCTGCAGACCTTGGGAATGCGCTGGGGCTGCCTACATGAGGAACCAAATTGTTTTTGACCTGAGCGAAGAGGGGCCAAGAGGGACGCACATTTGACACCTTTTAGCAGCCACAAGGTTTTCTGCAGAATAGACACAGCCCATGAAACAAACACGCAGCTGGAGTTAGGGTGCTTTTGAAAACACTGTCTTTATTCTCTACCTCCCTTTCTTCCAGGACAGGCTCTTTGCTTATTCCCTCTTCAGAAAGAGACTTTTCTGGCACTCAGCCTAGCCTGGGTGGAGATTAGGGATTCTCTCTGTCCCTTCATCCTTGAATATTTCCTTTTAATTTCACAGTTTAAATTCCAATTGTGTAATTACATTCTGCCTAGCCCAAATTCCTCTGTAATTTCAATTGGACACGGTGTCCTTCACTCTCTAGTCTGAACTCTTGCAGTGCTGTGGGGCACTGTTAAAAGGCTGCCACGCTCCACTCTAGTCCCATTTCATGTATATGGAGAAAGAGAATGGGCCTGGGTCCCTTTGAACTTAAACTGCCGCTCCATATAGGCGAGACAGCGTTTGCTATAGAGTGACAAGGCCGTTTTCCCCCTTGGCAATACACTGGGCATTTTGCACAACGCCTCAGTCCAAACAGGTTTTTGAAGTAAAAGTCTAAATATGTCTGTAGGTATTTCTCCCCCCCAACACATGCCCTTTGATCTCAGCTAAAGCGTACAGGGGCCCTCATATTAATACTCCGCTGAATTTATGTGGCCTGACAGTACCTACTTGCACCATTTAAAGTGGCAGAAATGCCACAGTGATTTAATTTACATTCAAGGAGTTGCAGAGCAATGGGCGGGTGAGCAGTAGAGGAGTTCAATAAAAAAACACTTCCCAGAAACCAGCAAATGCCATGCATCTGATGACGTCCTGCAGATTTTGCTCTGCTAGCAGTTTCCCTCAAGCCCTACCCATTGCCAATCGAGTCCCACATCTCAGCTGTCTTAAGTGTTGGCGTCTACTTTACACCAGTGTGAAAGTATCTCTGCTGTTCCAGCTCACTGCAGTTTCTCCTGTCTCCCCTTGCTTTCCACCGCCTTCCTTAGTGTGCCGCAGCTGCATGCTCCCTCTGCGCGCCTGCATGCTGCCCTCAGCTCTCTGAAAGGCTCACTTTTCAGATTCCCACCACCTTCTCCTGTGGCCTTTTGTAGCAACTCGGGGTGACGTGCTTTGATGGGAGTGGTGCCCTTGGTGGGGGAATACTCCCCTTGATCCTTCTTCTCAAACAAGTTCTCCACACAGGTTCTGCAGCATGAAGAGAAGTTGCTCACCTTTCTGAAAAGTACATGTATAGCCAGTTTAGCCAAAAGAAATCCATTGTTTGGGGCAGCCCAAGTCAAAAAGTAGTACTGCATCCACACAGGGCCTCTGTCACTTTGACTTTTGAGGGAACTTCTGCTTTACACATCCTGCAGAGCTGCTCCTGCTCCCCAGGGAAGTCCTTCTGCCCTTTCTTTGGTAGCAGAGCTGAGGCTACTGTTTGTATCTCTGGCATACGGCTGCTAGATCCGGTGAGTCCAGGTAGACCTTATTTGCCTGTTTCCTTGGTTAGCTTACGCTCTTAGAAGTAGAAACTATTGGGAGGAAGCAACAGAGCATGTCATAACTAGCGCCGTTTTTGTTTGGCTTTGAGTCATAAACCTTAACGGAAAGGAAAGAGCCATCATGTTCACTCCCAAGTTTGTCATACAATCAGCAAGGGGCAAGGCCGTAGTGTGGGCAAGAAAATGAAACATGCGAAGGTACAAGTGCCAGCAGGGGGAAGTCACTGTTGCTTATTGTCAGTTTTGGTGTGACACAGAAAGTTCAGCTAATCCTCTTAGTTACAGAGACACACGGGTGGGGGGAGATTGTTATCTCAAGCAATTTGCTGCCTGTACTCCCTTTTTCCCTCCGAGTTTCTTTTCGCCTAATTGAGCAGCATTTCTTCTTGGGACTAGTTTGCAATAATCCTTGGGGCCCCATCAGGGAAAACACTGGAAATTATAGAAGGAAAAGCAGCCCAAGTGAGTCACCATGAGTTTCTTTCTTAAGAGAGATAACCAACTTTGTTCCAAACAACGAGGATTAAAAACCAGATAAAGACTCGATGGCGGGATGAAGAACGTGGTGGCCGCAGCGAGGGTTCCCTCGGACAGGGCAGGTCGCAGCCGCGAGCTGGACGAGCTGAGTTAGGGGCAGCCAGAGCCGCTCCGCTCCGTCTGAGGCGGTGCCACCACACAGCACTGCGTTGGCTCTGCTTCCAGTGCCAAGGGGCTGTGTCTGCGGTAAATCTAATCAAGAGTCAAAAGGTGAACAAGAACAATAACAACTGGGGCCAATGTTGTTTTTATTTATCCAAGAGATAAGAATCCAACTACAGGAACAGAAGTGAGAAAAAGCCATCTCTTTCTGAACAGACAATTATTCCACCCACGCTCCCTCATCATCAAGATTTTAATGTTGTGTTATATTACTAAGGCTATTTAAAATTTTCTCCGCCGGAGGGCTGGGAATGTTAGTGCAGACACTTTGCCAGTTGCCACAGGTGTGTTGTTTTTTTTTTTTTTTTTTTTAAACAAGAGACCCGCATAATTACAGGGAATATTCCTGATGCCAGTAGCCAGGTGCTGTCCTCTGTCAGGCTCTCAGCGCTGCTGGAGCAGCTGCCTGTGTTACCAGTAGAAGCAAACATTTGGAAACCTCTCTGTGTGCAGGCAGAGCCTTAGCCCCTGTTGAGTTCCTGAAGGCATGAGGCTGTTTCCAGCATCTTGATTTTCCATCCGGCGGAATTGCAGGTTCTGGTTTGCAAGCCCTCCTGGTTCATCCTGGAGAAATTCAAGACATTACTGTCTTGGGATGTCTGCATTACTAAGGTGCTGGAGGTGACAAACCTCCATGAGTGAATGGTGTGTCCACTGCTGAACTATTTCAGTTCCCTGACCGATGTGCAAATGTAAATCACTACTGGTTCCAATTTACACTGATATCCCGGACTGAGAACTGCAGAAATGAGCGATTTAATTCAAGATCATATCGACGTATTTAGCTGGGATGGTTAAAGAATTTATTGCCTCTAGCTGTGGAGACGGGTTCCCTTTTCAGTTACAGCAGCTAAATCCAACAGAGACTGTGAGTCAGAGCCCAAAGATGAGAAAGAAAGTGCCAGAGCACACAGCAGTTAAAAAGCCATTGCAAAATAGGTAGTGTAGTGCTTTCAAGAGAAAAGATATTCTGCTGATGCTACTAGCACAGGACAAGGATATGACACGTTTGATAGGTGCACCGCGCCTAGATCTCTTCTGGTTTAGCATGAGTTCTTTAGTCTCACTCTCGCTTTGGCTAATGTGGGGCTTGGGAACACTTTTGAGCTTGCTGACCTGGACACGTAGCCAGGCCGTGTCCTGACCTCTGTATTCCTATGAAACACAAGGAGTGCCTGGGCCCTGCTTTCCAAGGAAAGGAAAGCACAAGGGAGGATCAACACAAGTCATCGTGCACTCTAGCAGGCTTCTGATTCACAGAATTGAAGGATGGAGACCCCACCATGTGCTGTTTTGCATCTCCACGTCACTTTGGACACAGCTTCTGGGTCTCTACTGCACATCTGCATAATGACAGCAACAGTATTTCCTTATTTCACATGCATATTGTGAAAATAAATGCATCGAGAAATGCAACCACTAGACACTGCAGAAGGGAGGGCATCTTAAGTAGATTTCTGTCATTTTTTAATTTAAGATACTGGTAAAATCTGATCGAACCCAGAATTTGCTTTTCCAAACTGTACTGATTTATGTTCAGATTGTGCAGGGGAGCAAGGACAGAAGGGAAAGATTTTGACTGTAACCCCTGTGTGGCTATGTGTGGCCAACGTAAGGCAGTCCCTGGATCACAAAATACACAGGAACGCTACCTGATGATTCCAACACTGCAAAAAGGAATGAGGAAAGCGTTGGCATTGCTGGTGTCGCAGGTCTCTCTTCCCCATGCTGGTCTGCAGAGCTGGCTAGTTGTTTGCAGCAGTAGACCAAGCTCTTTAGCTCTATCTGAGCTCCTAACGCTGAATCTATACAGAAAAGTCATATATTTTCTTAGCCATATAGATTTGATTCCTGGATTCTACTCTGTAGTATCAGACTGCAATTCTGACAGTGAGATAACATTCACAGTTGCAGAGACTAGGAAGAAATTATGAATGTATAAAGTATATACATAATGCTTAAAAAAAAAACCCACACATTTTCTTTTACCTAGTAGCTCTAGTACTCTGTAGCTTTATTTCAGATACATGACATCAGAATACTGTTAATCAAAAAATTATAGTCTGAAACCGCTAGAAGAAAGAGATTTTGCTAGCTGAGGACCCTGAATGAAAAAGCAGTCACCAGTGTGAATAGGACCATCAGCTTTTCCAATGGCAGCTCCCTGGCTTCTCCTAATTCCCCCATCTCTTTCCCCTCCCTCCACAAACACACACTCATACGCTATGGGAGGAATGACAGCTGTTCTTCATGGAATGACAGCCCAGGGATATTGCATCCTCCCTCAAAAAAAATCAGGCAAGGTACAGAATAAGGTCAGTGAAGGGAGACAAAGGGGTCTCTCAGAGATGGCAAAGGCTAATTTATTGACAGATGAGATACACGTTACTACAGAAAAATATTAAATGGATTCTTTCCCCTTGTCTTTGGAAGAGAAAAAAAAAAAAAAAAAGAAGAAGTGGGAAGGGTTAGGAAGGAAGGATGCCAGAAATCAAGACAAATTTCCCTGGAGAGGAAGAAGAAATCCTGAAGGAAATTAGGATCACAACACAGGGGGAAAAAAAAAATCAGAGCATCTGAAAAGCTAAGAAATTCTGCCCTAGAATCCCATATGGAAATGACAAGAAAAGGTCAGTGGAGAAGGACCACCCGTAACAGTCACATCGCTTCAAAGGCAGTCAGTGAAAGAAGGAAGTGCTGGTAAAACACAGAGAGCCTAATTAAAAGCCACTATTTGAAAAGGGCTGTCGGGAAATTGCAGAGCTGTGCATGCACCTGACGTCAGCCACGAGGAAGACTCTGGGAGCGCTAATCAAAGACAAGCTAAGGGAGCATATGGTGCCGGGAGATTTTATTAAGGGCAGTAGTGAGCCAGGGTTCATATAATGGGAGCAGATGAGCTCAGGAGATGGGAGCAAAGAAAAGGATGGGTTTTCAGCTGAAATAAAATGGCATAGTGCTGTCAACTTTGACAGTATGTCAGTTTCCACTGCAAGGCAAGAGCCTGACTGAGAGGCTCAAATAGTGGGATTTTATGAATATTGTTCCTCTGGCCTAGATTAAGAGATGGCCCCACATGTTCACGCAGAAGAGGACAAGAAAAGCTCTGTGTTCTATTGCTGTCTTCTCTATGGGGTAACTCCATGTTGCCCCCAACGAGGTTACCAAGAGACCAACGACATGTTCTGAGATCTTGTGACATTAGAAGAATTTATGATACATACCTGTAAGGGAGGGCCATCAATGACTGAAAAGTCACCATAGGAAATTTTCACAGCGATTAGGGAAACAGAACAAAAAGAAATATGAAAAAAAAAGGGCAAACAAAAACATGTTATGGAAAAACAAATAATAATAATAACAAAAAAAAACAGATTTAATTTATACTCACAAGCAGGGCTAGGTTTAAGCCAAATGGTATCTTACTCTTTTCAAAATAACAGGGGTTTTTTTGTTTGTTTTGTTTGTTTTTGGAGTGTGTAACTCAAGTAGTAAAATAACGGAACAGGAAGGCTTCCTCTGTGCCCGCTGTGATGTGCTGCATGCTGGCCTTCTCTAACCTATCTAGTCACTGCCTAGATAAATCTTGGCAAAACATTTCCCTCAGAGCACGTTTTTCTGCCAGTTGGTTAATCTCACCTAAAATCATGAGGATCCTCCCATTCTAGACAGCCCTGTGACATTAGAGGATGATCTTGTACCATGCATAAGTTCAGCAGAGCCTGATGATCCTGTGCTGTCAGCCTACTACATTCCACACTAAGCATCAGATTAAAAAAGGTGACGAAACTAATACTACATTCTGTTTTTAAATGAACTAGACAGGAAGTGTTCCTCCCATCTCTGTGACTGCCATGTTCACTGCTAAGGGGAAAAAAAAAAGAAAAAGCCTGTTTGCATTGGATTTGGAGCTTTGATATTCTAGAGGAGTTAGCAGTCTTTTGAGCCTTGGGAGAGTGAATAGGACAAAGCAAAAATAAAAGCTGGATTCTTTCTGAGTTTCAGTGTTAAAAGCTGAGGAAGTGTTAAATGGTGAAGCAGACTTATGCTTTTGGTGGGTGATTTAGCCCAGCTTTCTGCTACAAGGTGGCTGTATGCTCAAGTGCAATCTGCCACCCAGGGCCAGAACCAATGTGATTGTTCATGAACATTTCTCAAACAGGAAAAAAAAAAAACCCACATATATAAAGCTGCCAGTTTTGCTAGGAATGTACTCATAGTCCATGGGATGGCCTGCATGCATATTTGCAATTCCCCGCGCTGTGACAGTGCAAGGTAGAGCTCATTGCAATCTAATGTGTGGGGACTTGCCTGCACACTGAATCTGTGGTTCTCCGCAAGGTAGCTGGGCTCCTTACACAGTGCAGTAAACACCTGAACTCAAGTTGGGGGATCTCTCAAGATAATAAATAAAAATGCCTGCGTCATCATCTCAGCTCCAGACTTCAGATGAGGCTCCACATCATTTGCGCTGGTTCATTTGAAGACTGCCACTGAGGACTCCTGTGGACTCCCCTGACTTGGAGATTTCAAAGGTCCCAGGGTTGCCACTAACACCCTGCCTCCTCCTCTAAGAAAAACAAGCAAACAAACCATTAGCTTTCTGTCAAACCAAGAGCTTGATCTGACATGCCTAATTCCAACAGCATTGCCAGACCTGATACAAGAAATGTGGTGCCAGTGGGCTGCCTGGAGGCTGGCTATGGCAAGGTAAGGCAGGTAGGACCACCACT